GTCCCCACAGCAGAGCTGCCCCCAGGGCCCAGCAGGGTCCCCACAGCAGAGGCGCAGGCACGTTATCTGCAGGGCCGTACTCGCATCTGAGGACAGACTGTGCGGTAGGAATGAACAGTGAACAAGAATGAGCACCACACTGTGAGCCAAGCTCTCCACAGGTGAGATTCCTAAGCTTGCTGGGCCCACCTGGGCTTCCGCTGGGCAACCGGGGCCACAGCACCCCCTCCTCTGGTCCCGGCCCCACTGCCCCCTCCTCTGGTCCAGGCCCCACTGCCTCCTCCTCTGGTCCAGGCCCCACTGCCCCCTCCTCTGGTCCAGGCCCCACTGCCTCCTCCTCTGGTCCAGGCCCCACTGCCCCCTCCTCTGGTCCAGGCCCCACTGCCTCCTCCTCTGGTCCAGGCCCCACTGCCCCCTCCTCTGGTCCAGGCCCCACTGCCTCCTCCTCTGGTCCAGGCCCCACTGCCCCCTCCTCTGGTCCAGGCCCCACTGCCTCCTCCTCTGGTCCAGGCCCCACTGCCCCCTCCTCTGGCCCAGGCCCCACTGCCCCCTCCTCTGGTCCAGGACCCACTGCCCCCTCCTCTGGCCCAGGCCCCACTGTCCCCTCCTCTGGTGGTTGGATGAGGCCCACCTGAGAGGATGGGGGTGGATGTGCTCAGAAGTTACCTGGGCAGAAACCACCGGGAGAAAAGAAGTTTCTTCTTCCTTCCTCTTCCCCAGGCAACGAAACAGTTTACCAGTAACCCTAACCTTCAGGTTTCCTTTTTTTAAGTAATGGTTTTGCTGTCTGTTCCTGGCCTTCATCTATCTTTAGAGTCACTCCCTGCGTGTGGGCCTCCTGCTCAGGGTGGACCTGGCCCCGCCCCCTCCGTCTCTCCCCTCCCTCTGGCTTCCAGCTGGTCCTGCTGCAGTGTTTCCCCACCATCTCCCCTCACGCCCTGGCCTCTCCCCCGGGCATTGCCCGTCTCCCAGCGCCACTCGCAGGCTGGGCTCGCTTCTGCATTTGGACACCAAGAGGCACCCGGTGACCAGCAACAATGAGGCCTAAGAAAACGGGTCATTTGAGCCGAGAGAGACGTCAGTGAAACCATCTTAGTATTTGATTGGCCTTTTGTTAAGAGAATAGTGAGTCTTTAAGCTGCGCCCGAGAAAGACACTGACCCCTTTTCAGAGTGGACAGGACTGGGATGGCCGCACTGAAAGGCAGCGCTGATGGCTGAAACCGGGTGTGCCACCCGCCGGGCCGCCTGGGGGCCTGACAGGCACCTGCCCGGAGCCCTGCGGACGCGCCGAGAGAGGCCCACCAGGCGGCCAGGTGGATCTGATAGGTGGTGAGTCAGGAGAGAGAGGCCCACCAGGCGGCCAGGTGGATCTGATAGGTGGTGAGTCAGGAGAGAGAGGCCCACCAGGCGGCCAGGGCGATCTGATAGGTGGTGAGTCAGGCAGAGCACCGGACGGAGCCAGGCCGGGTGCAGCCAGGGGCACCTGGGCGAGAGGCTGAGGACGATGTGTAGGAGGAACCCGGGGGAGCGTGCCGACGCAGTGCCGGAGCGGCCGCAGACACGCCAGCACGGTGAGTGGCATGACGGTCTGTCAATGACATCTCGGCTCAGTGTTCCCTTGGGGATGGAGTCCCTGCCAAGCGGGAGGCTATGTCATGAGAGCGGGCAGGTGAGCAGAGCGAGCGGGAAGGGAAAGGAAGGAGCGGGTGAGGAACGCCATCTCCTTAGCGAGCGGGCTGTGTGGTCAGCGATGATCTGCCACGTGTTTCATGAGGCCTCTGGTTCCGGACGGGAAAGATGTGTGTTCTGGACTCTAGGGCATGTCAACAAAGCCCATCCCGGCCTCACCTCCTTGGGGACCAGGGATGGTTTGTTTGCCTTTTCACCACGGAGTATGGACGTGGGACAGTGATTTGGGGGTGCACAGGCTCTGGGTGCATGTAGACTAATCGGTTCCCAAGGAGAGATCCGTGCCGTGTGTTTCTGGGCTGTGCAGGGACCCAGGAGGCCACGCAGAAGCGGCACTGCGTCCCCCACGGAGGAATTTCAGGGGCTCCGAGCTCATCCCACCAAGAAGGGGGGTGATGTTCCCTCTGCAATGAGCGCAGGTATAACCCTAGAGGCACTTTATCGGCAGCTGCAACGTTGTAAATGTCAAGGCCACACACACCCATGAAATGAGAAGTGTGTTGGGAGTCGCCTGTGCCAATCAAGACTGTCTGTGCTTCCTGTGGACAATGCCCCCCTCCCAAGGCCGTCCCGTGATCAGACCCCACGCCAGGAGCATTGCCTGCTGCAATTCATTCGCTCCCTTTTGCTGAAACACTAGCCAGGTTGCACGAGATGGTGGCTCAGAACATGGATTCTGGGGGCAAACTCCCTGGATTCGGACCCCAGCTCTGCCACTTACTAGATGTAAGTTATGTAACTTCTTTGGTTCTCAGTTTCCTCATCTGTGAAATGGGAATCATGATGGTCCTACCTCGTAGGGCAGGTGTGAGGATAAATCTTAATATGAGGACGTGCCTGGCATCTAGTAGGTAAGGGCTTAACTCACGTGATCAGTGATCTGGGCTGATTGTCACAGGCTGATGGCAAGTCTCGGGGTCAGTTAGAGCTGGTAGACCCCAAGGGAGAAGCCAGAGGTGAATTAAGGGGCCCCCGTGCATTGCCTGGTGGCAAATGAGACGACAAACACACAGCATGGCTGACGCGAGGAATCTGGATTCACCTGCAAAAGCGGAAACATCAGTTCTCTGAAATGAGAACGTGGAATACAGAATTCTGTAAGACAGCCTGGCGACAGGCTCTACCCAGTCTATTCTAAGGGAGAGATGGGGATGTCTGTTTTTCAGTTTGATTTTTCTTGCTAAATATGACTTGATTTCTTAAAACTGTCTCTCCCAGCCCTGGCCAGTTTTGCTCAGTTGGTTTAACTGTCGGCCTGAGGAAGGACCAAAGGGTCTCAGGTTCGATTCCCAGTCAAGGGCACGTATTTCAGTTGCAGGTTCAATCCCCTACCTCCTGTGCGGGAGGCAACCAATCTCTCTCTCTCTCCCTCTCCCTGCCCCCTCCCTTCCTCTCTCTCTAAAAATGGAAAAAATATCCTCACTCCTCCAGTCAGGATTAAAAAACAAAGTCATGCAGAATAAGCCATCCCTGTCACAAGACATGTGTTCTGGAAAGCATGCAGGAAGGGGAGGACAGATGTGATGTGAGGGCCGTTCACTAATTAAATCTCCCTCCCCTACTAATTTTCTATTTCTCATTTTAAAAGTGATAATTAGGTGTGACTGACATAGATAAGATGGATGGATATCAGGTACTTGACTAACAAGCTTTGAGAACGGTAGGTACCTGGGAATCACCCTTCAAAAGAAGACAGAACTTTTTTCATCACATCAGACATTTCCCCCCGAACTCTCTCCTGCCAGTCCCCTCTCCCCACCTCCTCCTCACCCCCTCGTGGACAGTCCCCTCTCCCCACCTCCTCCTCACCTCCTCAGGGACAGTCCCCTCTCCCCACCTCTTCCTCACCTCCTCATGGATGTGTGCATGTAGATTGGTTTTGCCTTTATGTGGATTTCCCATGAATGGCATCAAAGTGTAGGAACTACTTTGAGTTTGGCTTTTGTGCTTGACATGTGTTTGAGAATGTGTTGTTGAGCATATCAATAGTTCATTCTTTTTTATTGTTGTGTCATATTCTATTGCATAAATAGGGCATATTCAGTTCTAGCAATTTTATCACAAAGACTTTTCTTTCTCCATGAATTACTTTGGCATCTCTGTGGAAGGCCAGTCAACTAACTAGGTGCTGGTCTATCCATCTATTTTATTCAGTTGCTTTATATGCGGGTCTTCATGCCAACAGCCTACTGTCTCGACTACTGTAGTTTTAGACTGTATCTTAGAATCACAGGTATAAGTCCCCCAAGTTTGTATTTTTTTATCAAAATTATTTTGAATATTGTAGATCCTTTTGGAATCTTATTTATCAAAAAGAGCCTGCTGGGCCCTACCCAGTTTGGCTCAGTGGGTAGAGCATCAGCCTGTGGACAGAAAGGTTCCTGGTTCGATTCCTGTCAAGGGCACGTACCTTGGTTGCAGGCTCCTCCCCACCCTGGGCCCCAGGAGACAACCAATCGATGTGTTTCCCTCACATCAATATTTCTCTCTGTCTTTCCCTCTCTCTTCCACTCTCTCTGAAAATGAATGGAAAAATATCCTCGGGTGAGGATTAAAAAGAAAGAAAAAGCCTGCTGAGATTTTTATAGAGACTGTGTTGAACCATCTTAACAATATTGAGTCTTCCAATCAATGAATGTAGAAACATCTCATTTATTTAGGTCTCTTCCGTTTTTTCTCAGAAATGTTTGGATGTTTTTATGCAGAGGTCTTATACATCTTCCAGTAGATTTATTCCTAGGTATTAACGCTTTCAGTGGCACTGTAAATGGTAGTATTTTTTAAATTTTTTTATTTTCAAGCATTTGTTAGAGGCATATGAAAACATAACTGATAATTATATACTAACTTTGTATGTTATGGCCTTGCTTCCAAAGTGTCTGATTAAAAAGGACTCCCCACTCCCCACTTGTGAGGTACAGGAAAAGGAATTCAGCCAGACTTGAAATTCACAGGCTGATAAGAAATGATACCAAGCCGGCTGGTGTGGCTCCGTGGTTGAGCTTCAACCTATGAACCAGGAGGTCATGGTTCAGTTCCCGGTCAGGGCACAGGCCCAGGTTGTGAGCTCGATCCCCAGTGTGGGGCGTGCAGGAGGCAGCTGATCAATGATTCCCTCTCATCATTGATGTTTCTCTCTCTCTCCCTCTCCCTTCCTCTCTGAAATCAATAAAAATAGATTAAAAATAAAAGAAATGATACCAACTCCCACTTATGACCACGGACTGTGGGAGGGGTGTAATAAATCTTCTGTGTCAGCTAAGGGAGGTGCTAAGAAGACCCAGTGCTCCCCGATCTCTGGTCACCATGGGCCCTGTGGCTGGGGAAGTGGCCCTGAGCCCAGCCCTGTGGAGGGAGGGCCGGTCGCCCACGGGGCCACATACGATGGGCCACGTGAATTTGAAGGCTGCGTGGTGGCCTTAGGGTGCTCCCTGCTGTTTGTGGATCCGTCCAGTTCACACAAGTCCCCCCCACCCCCCTCTCACAGATCGGATGACGCCAGAGCTGGAGGCACACAGGACCCCCTAACCAAACCAAAGCAGCCCAGCCTCGCTCAGCTAAAGCCCGGCTAACAGGCCCGGGCGCGTCAGCTGCAGGCTGGCAAGAGGCTCCCTGTGCGTTGCAGATCACAGCCTCATTGAGACGCTTGTGAGACACCCGCGTGCGTGGGAGCCGGCTCCCTCGGCACCGCGTGGCTGTGTCTGATTCCACCGAGGACGGGGGACCATCCAGTCAGACGCCGTCCGTGGCAGATGCTCCCCAGTTAAGTCGGCACGGATGTGTTTATGAGCATTTACACGTTCCATATGCTGACCTTT